ATCTGGAGAGAAGGAACAAATGTAAACGCTGACCAAGTTTAGGTTGCACTGAAGCCCACAGATTATTGGTTTCAAATTGCTTTTAAAGTTTCTACCATTCTTCAGCTTTATAGTTTCCACAGAGCTCTGACTAATGGGTATACAATCAAAGCTGGTGGTAACATTAGCCACATTAGCTGTCACATTGCTATCAGTGATAGAAATAATCCCAATGGATCATCAGTTCCTCAGACGTTGGGAGTGCATGAAGACTCTTGTGATCATTCTTGCAGCAGAACATTTGGTTTGCTTTCCTTGTGGTGGAGCCAGTTTAGAAATAGCAGAAGCAGCTCTAGGAAATAAATAAATTTGGTGGAATGGCTCACCTGGAAACAGTGAAGGGGCATTACATGAGCTGGACGACTATTGGTTCCTCAGTTGAAACACAGAAGTTGAGTAAAATTCTTCCGTGCTTATAAAGCTGAGTGGTTATCTAGTTGTAGCGGGGCTTGAGTAACAGCAGAAGTAATTGTTTTCATATCTTAACAGCTTTTACTTCACACTTCTAATTTTATAAGAACCACAAAATGCAATAAAAATGGATTTTCACCATGTGGAGTCTATAAATTTGAGGGTTTTTTTCAAATTATGTGGGTCTGGAGTTGCAGAGATGAACTTTTTGGCAGCTTTTGTGGACATTTTTATTATGTGCATGTATGTTCTATCCAAAATATGACGGCGTCTGACTGAGGATTTTGTGCTTGTGTAAGACTAATAGTAGAAATATTGTCAACTTCAACAAGGAACGACTGCCAGTTTTGCTTTTTGTTTCTTTTTCTTTTAATCACAATTCCATCACACTCGTGTGACGATGCTAAAGATTTCCACGGAATCGGTCACTACAAACATCTCTTTGAATGATAACAGAGGAGTAAGATTACCGAGGATCTCTTGTGTTCCGTCATGTCATTTGATCACGCCCGCTTAATGAGGTGAATCCAGTTATGATTCCAGTTATGTAACGAGGTTTAACAGTGGAGCGTGTCATTTCTACTCATGACTTGTCAGGGCAGTTCATTACTTCGCATGTTGCATTGCAAATTATATTGCATTTAATTTTAATGTTTTTAATCACCCAGCTTTTATGCCATTTTTACCTGTTCTATGAAGGTGATTTTTAAACTTTTTTTTTTTTTATTAAACTTGCCTGGAAATGTATAGATTTTATTTGACACATTATCTTTTATTGTTTTGATTTTTGTCACATTTTGCCTGTAAAGCAAAACAAAATAAATAAATGCCTCTGTTTATAATAAGGTTTCATGTTTTTGATAATAATATAAAAAAATCTTCATTCTTGTTAAAAAAAAAAAAGAAGAAAAATAATAAAGAAAGAAAAATGAAAATTCATGTGTTCCTGAGGAAGATAATGTGTTTTGTAGAACAGCGGTGCCTTGTGGCTGTTTTGCTGAACTGCAAGGCTAACTCTCCACTATTTAGTTAGCTTACTTGTCCAGCTCGGGATTTAGCAATTTACCTGACACGAACGTGTGGTGAATAGAGCAAAAAGGAAAGGACATGCTCACATTGAATTAAAACACACGTCTTTCAGAGAAACGTTGCTCCACAGCACAGGGTACTCCAGTAAGTTTGCATTTCATACAGACTGAATCGGTGTCTACAACTGTGTGCTAACGTTAGCACAGTTAGCAAACAAGAACAGCGGTTGCTAACGTTACAGTGCTGCCGGCTCCACGAACGACAGGCACGGATTTATCTAACAAGGAGTTCATGAGACACAGTGCGGTTATCTAACGTGTAATGTTGTTAGCTAAATTTGCTTTAGTGAGGGACTTTGAGTTTTCTAAATAACTGGCCAGCAGTTTGAAGCAGCATGCTAGGTGGTAGACACCTATGTTAGCATAGTTAGCTAGCTAGTTAGTGCTAAAGTTAGCTGTGGGCATTAACGTTAGCTGCAACCTGTCTGTCAGCTTCTCTGGCCATGGGAGTAATTAACTAACGTTAGCTGTTGCCTTTTCCCTATTATACTATTCTTCACAGGCAGCCATGTCAGGAATTAAAAGGAAAATAGAAGGCAACGATCCCGACTATGAGGACGTTTCGCTGGTCCAAAACAGTAAAAGAAACAAAGCGGCTGAACATAATGGTAAGTTCATGCTCTCAGCCCTGAGCCAGTACACCTGCTTTGCATGTTGTGGTCAAAACCAACTGTACTCTGTCATTTGCTGTTCCTTAATTTATATTCTTCCCCCTTTACTATGTCGTTAGCTCGAGAAGCAACAGTGCAGAAAATTGAAACCATCATCAGGGAGCAGTTTTCTTTGGAAATGAAGAACAAAGAGCATGAAATAGATGTGATAAGTCAGGTATGTGGACGATACGAGAAAATGATCTTCTTGCTATTGTTGTGTATCTCACTTGTTTGTATCAGCAATTAAGAAAAATAATGATATTGATATGGAAAATAACGTACAGAAGTTTTTTTTCCATGTTAAGGACAAAGCAAAGCATGTTGGTTAATGTTTTTTCATTGTTTTGCAGCGACTTAATGAAGCCAGGAGGATGATGGACAAGCTGCGGGCATGCATAGTGGCCAATTACTATGCCAACGCTGGAATTCCAAAAGTCTCAGAGGTAAACTCCTGTATATTCTGATGCAGATGGCTGCATAAGGTGGTGGTTTGGTTTAGTAGCAGCAACCAGTATTCCCACTGTGTCTTAGCACGGCTCTAAGAGTGACCCTGCCGTGCTGAACCATCCAGCCATCCGCCGGTTCCTGGAGTCCCCATCCCGTTCCTCTTCGCCTCTCAACCAGGGCTCTGAGACTCCTTCTCTGGCCCATTCTGAGTCCGAGTCCCTCTCACAGCAAGGAGAAGGAGCTGAGAGGAACGGAGAGGGAGCATGGCGAGACGACGGCAACAGGCAGGAGCGCAGACCTGGACGTAATGTAGGCAAAGTGAGTACAACTATGCTGAGATGACAAGGGTGTTTGATTATTTGATGACTGTGATGTGGCTATGAGCATCATTATTTTTTACCTTTCATCAAGTCTGCTGTGTTTTTCCATTATTTGTTGTAGGACACATTTGGTGTGCCATCGACCTTAGGAGCTGAGCAGAGGGTGACCTACCACACCACTGGAGACGAGGCCTCTAGACTCTATGCAAAGAAGACAATCGTAGTGGGGAATGTATCCAAGTATGTTACCAGACCAATCATGTATTTTACTCACCCAGTCATCTTTCTGACTCAGTGTGCCGTAGAGCCAGTCTTTCCAATATAGAGCTCGGGGGGCCTCTTAGGAAGTCGCGACAGTGTTTATGTAGTCTGTCTCACCAGATGTAGGATGCAGCTATAAGCTCGTCATTGGCTTCTCATTTCTGGCAGCTTTCCTTCCATTCTCTATGCGTTTCATACTTTACTATGAGAAGCAGCAACAAAAACAACTCTTAAAATTCCTAGTTTTGCAGAGGGCTTGGATCATGTTGTAAGGCAGCCCTGCCAGTTTTCTTTTTTCAGTGGATTGTATATTTTAATGATAGCACAAGTCTGCCTACATGCAAATGCTCCACTTAGAAACAAAAACTCCACCTCGCCCTGTTTTAAGGTAACACTGAAGCCGTATTCTATCCTTAGATCCACCCGATCAATTGTAATTAAAGAAATACAAACAAGCCACAGCTTTTCCCCCGTAGCAGAATGATACTGAGGTACAGCCGGGTCATAATGTACCTCAGAATGGGCTGGTAAAACGAAACAAGGCTTTCTGTGCCAGAAGAAGACATTGTCTATTTTGTGTTGAACTGTTGAGTAGGTTTAAAATCACAAGTAAAATAGCAAATCAGTGTTTGACACGATAAGAAGTTACAAGTTCATCAGTCTGTCTGATAAACTTTCATAATGTCATTTTCAAAATTTCTCAATATTGTAAACAAATCATTTTGAAAACAGCTAACTTTAGCTTTCCAGAAAGGAATTACAAAGTTAGGGAATAAGGGAAACCTGTGAATGAGTTCTAAGCTATAAAACAGCTTGAGCTTTGTGGAGGTAGTTGCCGTTGAGGTGTTGTCAACCTGTGATGCAGCTGTGTCTGTGTTTTTCCAGCCAAACTCATTTGAACATCAGGGCTAACTGGTTTGAAATACCAACCATCTCATTGAAATATAGACACGGCGTAGAAGATATGTTAAATTTAAAGAGGTAGTTGCATTTATTGGCTGAAATGATCCAAACTCGGGGACAGAGAAAGAAGAAACATACTGCTCGTATGTGAAAAAGCAAAACGTGAGGTGAACTGTACGGCGGAGGTCTTTAGGTCTCTTGCATGACTGTGCACAGGAGAAATGAGACTTCATTCAGTTTTGCTACAAGTCCAGTCTTGATAAATGTTAAAAAAAATTTGAAGCCCCCCTGGGCCTGCGTTCATCCCGTCAGTTTCTCAAGACCTCTCGATTCAGGTTAAAACGAAGAACATATTTAATTTTAGGAAGCTTGATTGACAAGGCCCATGTTTCTTGTTCACACTCAAAGTCTCAGAGGGCTGAATGAGATAGTCATTCCTCAAGTGTCACCTGTGTATCGTTGCACATAATAAGAGGGCGTTGGATAGTTAATAAAAGATAAATGGGACTAGATTTGGGTACGCTCACCTAGAACACTTAATCTTCTGGCAGCTGTGGGGAAATGTGCACATTAAATGTAGCTTTTTGCAGTTATTGGTTTGAACTGAGTTTCTGCCTGTGATTTATGAAGCACATTCTTACATCTTTCCTCTTTACAGGGTTTTAAGAAATATACCAAGACTCACCTTCCCACTGTGTTTCATCACTTCTTGTTTTGCTACTTGTGTCGTGTTAAACTCCTCCTTCTTTAACCGTCCTAACGCTCGTAATTGCTATACATTATCGCCCATTTTCACTTTGGCTAAATCTTCACTGCCTCGGGCTGTTTTTCCAACTTTGCTTCTTACTTCCAGGTACATTCCCCCTGATAAACGAGAAGAGAATGACCAGTCTACCCATAAGTGGATGGTGTATGTCAGAGGCTCCAGAAGAGAACCTAGCATCGACCACTTTGTAAAGAAAGTCTGGTTCTTCTTGCATCCCAGCTACAAACCCAATGACCTAGTGGAAGTCAGGTTTGTGCCAGTGTTTTGTTTTTTTTTCTCCCATATTTAAGACAGGCAAAAAGGTTTGTAAGCACTTCCCAGGCACCTATATGTTACTTGAGATAGATAGAGCTCTCCTCTGTTACCTCAGGCAGTCATAGAAGTCAGAAGGACTGGGACAGAAGTGTTCCAGTAAGATTTGCCCTTACAGTGTTTTGTTGCCCATAGACACCATATTTACTTCTAACCTTACGTTGTTATTCTAAGTCAGTAGTTTGCCCTACCTCTTTCCACACACTACTTGCCAAACTTCAGGATGTAAGGAAACTATTTCAGATAATATCATCTGCTTAAGAGACCGTCATCAGCTGACATTTACTTCAGGATTAACTGTTGTGGAAAAAAAGGATCTTCCAAGTGAAAAAAACAGTCTGCTGATATTCAGAATGTGCTACATTGACTCAGCAGTAAACAGACTGGTATGAACATCTTTTAATAAACAGTGCCCCCTTGTGCATGTTTGAAAGTGCAGTTCATTCATCCCCAGTTATCAATTCTCTTTTTAAAAAACAATATGTGTGTCACTAAGTTATAATTCATCCAGCAAATTCTTCCAAGCAGTAAGTGTTTACGGAACCTAAGGAACGACATGTTCATTATGCATATTGTACACACACATCATTAGCTGACGTCATGTACCGCATAGTGAGTCAGACTAGAAGTCAACATCAGCATGACTAATCTTGGCCACACCTAAGTCACACGCGCAACCTAGTCAGCCCTGGCCCAAAGCACTAAGGTGTGTAGATCAGTTAGTTTAGGAAACAACTGGAAGGAACAGAACTTTTAGGGCCTTTAGTTCTGTAGTTAAAATGTCTCATTTTAGGTATTATCCTTTAAAAATGGCAAAGGATTAAAGTTTGCCCATGGCTTCTGAATAAATGATCTCTTTCATCAGTCAGCAATCCTTATCCTGAGCTGTAGCCTCCTGGCTGTTTGAGCTGACAAAGCACTCACGTTGCTGTTCCAGCCGCACATAAGCTCCCCCTGACTGACTCAAGTCTTCATTCCTGGTGAACCCTTCACATGCCTGATGCTCTCTGCTGACTCTCAACGCAGCCTGAATGTAGATTAGGGGATGAATAAAAGTACGAAAGAACAAATGCAGCGCTTGTAGGGTACGCTTAAACAGACACATAATATCCAGGGATATACACGTTGCCCTCGCAAGTCAGATCAGTGTCAGTAATGTTGAGGAGGAGCTTCAAAGAGAAGATGAGAGTCCTTCAAGTCATTGATTTTAAGAGATTATTAACTCAGTCTTCACCAGAAAACAGGGTGAGAGTATTCTTTCACAGAGACATTGTGATGCATTCTCTATGGAGGTTTTTTTCCCCTCCAGCTTTGGATTTTAATGATCTTACATAAGACATTTTGAATGTGTATGTTCTCAGTGAGCCTCCCTTTCATTTAACACGTCGCGGTTGGGGTGAGTTCCCCGTGAGGATCCAGATCCACTTCAAAGACCCTCGCAACAAACGTATTGACATCATCCACCAGTTAAAGGTCAGACCACATCATACACCACACCATCATTCAGCGTCATTTCCTCTTTAGACTGGGACACACTAGTTTTCCAAAGTCAGATTTAACGGAGCCTCTTATAGAAGCCCTAAAGGGTCCGTAGTGTACTTTGTTGACTTCTGCCACTCACCGTTAACTGTACAGCAGGGATCTCCAACTCCGGTCCTCGGGAGCGACTGTCCTGCAGGTTTTAGACGTTTCCATACTGCAACACACCTGACTCAAATCGATGGACCTCCAACAGCTCGTTGTCAAGTTCTACACAAGTCTGTTAATGATCCATTGATTTGAGTCAGGTGTGTTGCAGCACGGAAACGTCAGGACCGTAGCTCACGAGGACCGGAGTTGGAGATCCCTGCTTTACAGTTTAGTATTTGAAAAAGGCAAGATACTGCATGTGTGTATTTAAAGCCAAAGTAGCTGCATTGCTGTAGGCAGAGTTTGTGGTACAGTCCAAGTAGATTTTTATAGAAATTAAATCTTGCCATCATATTGAGGAGTTATTTAAAATTACGCTCTCTCAAATTTAGTGTGATTAGAACTCATTCGTCCAGTTCACTACCTCTGTTGTGTAACTTAAAATTCATTAAAACCTGTGTTTTGATGTCTTTTTTTGCTACAGCTCGACAGAACCTACACTGGCCTACAGACACTTGGGGCAGAAACTGTAAGTTATAAATGTTTGCTCTATTTCCTGCCATGACTTTTTTTTTCCTCAGAGCTTTACCTTGACGATGAGCTTTATTTGTTCCAGGTGGTTGATGTGGAGCTTCATAGGAATTCTCTTGGGGAAGACTACATCCCTCACTCCTCTTCCACCAAGGTGACTCACCGAGCAGCCAGCCCCATGTCGGCCACCTCCCAGGCTCAGAGTTATGGACGCTCTAGTTCTCCCATTTCACATGACTCCGGTATAGACAAAGGTACACATCAGAAACTTTTAAATATGATTAGAAAAGGGATATTTTAGTACATTCTGAAAATTAGGACTCACGTACCTGCAGGTGTGCATACTGAACTGGATAATAAGTAAGGTTCTAATTTTATAAACTCAGAAGCAGTTTTGCTTTTTTCTGTTAAAGGTTTAAGGCAATTTAGTAGTCGAGGTTTCTCAGGTTTCCTAAATATAAAGCCTTGACTTTGAGGACAGTATTGGATCCATTGTATTGTGGCTTGTGTACCTCTGTAAAAGACAGTGGTTATCAACTCCACATGAAGGTGAAACAGAGTTTTTATTAAAATCTACTCTTCCGTCTCCAGGTTTCATCAAAGCAGAGATGGGGAGACCAGCAGGTGGTCATAGCACAGGCCTCACTGCTGGTGAACGCACTCCAACACGACCCAAAGCTAGTGATAGGGTCACTCTTGGTTCCCATGGCAACTCCGCCTTCCAGCCTATCACAGCAAGCTGTAAGATTGTCCCCCAGGGACAGCCGCCCAGTCCTGCGGAGTCTCCCGGGAAATCATTCCAACCAATCACCATGAGCTGTAAAATTGTTTCAGGTAAATATCTCCACCTAGTGTCCATTTTATATTGTTTCTAAAAATTGTTTTTTTTGCTTTGCCCCACTTTTTTTTTTAACATAAATGCATCCTTTGAGAAACTGGATTTTGTGAGTTAGATGGAAGAACTTTGCAATTGACCATAGGAGAGAGGTCATATAACCCTCTTTCACCTAATTTCTACTTACTTTTTAAAGTGTTTTTTTTCAGTTCAGTTTTATCTATGTACGATTGTGTGAAACACTGATAAATGCCAACAGCAAATACTTAACTGACATTAAACTACGTCAGTGCTTTCATATTGATGTTGTTGTTCTGTTGCTTGTAATGTGCACATTTTGGTCCGTGCCGTCGATTCTCATTCTCAACTTAGTGAAGATAGTATTAATACAGTTATTGTATTTATACTGAAATAAAATAACAAGTTTATTTTCTGCTCCTGTAGACTCATATTTGTTATGTTTGCCAAACATTGTAGAAATTGATTTCAGAATTACTGAATTCTGTAGATTAGCAAAATATTTTTCCCCCTCCAAATTCTCATAACTACTAAGGCCAGCAATATAAGTGAATGCAACAGGACAGAAAAGTTCAGGAAATAGTGCACATGGGGATCTTAGAGTATCGTATATAACACATGGATGTACTGTAAATCACCTAACTGTTGTCTTTTCATAACATATCTCAGAGGACTTAGTAAAATTAGTTTTCGTTTTAAAATTGAGTCTGCGACCAAATATTGGGTTGTACATGTCACACATTAGTATCAAGTTCAAGTAACACATATTTACCTGAACTACCTGAAAAATTTTAGCAATCCCTGGATCGTTTTTTGCTTTTCTTTTATTCTTCTACGAGGCTTTTTCCATGTTGAATTGTTATTGACACTATTAAAGAGAATTATTCATCTAATCACCTCTTTCTCCCCCACAGGGTCGCCGATCTCCACACCGAGCCACTCTCCGCTGCCCCGCACACCCACCACCTCCACCCCTGTCCACAGCAAGCAGAGCTCTTCCTCTGTGCTCAACAATCCTTACATCATTGTTGACAAACCAGGCCAGGTGATCGGCATAGCTGCCTCATCTGCTGCCTCCACAGGTACACATCTCCTACTCAGTGTCAAAGTGCTGCTCGAATTCGGAAGTGGACCTGCATCAAAATTGAGAAGCGGTGTCTGTGCCGCCCACATAGAATATAAAAATGGCTGTGAGGAATGTACTCTGTAGCAGAACAGATGATGAACAATACCCTCTAGACTCCCCCCATTCTCTCTGCTTCACTCTATATGATATGGTACATTTCTTTGTCCATTTTTATCCACTTGTTTTTTTCTTATCTAGCTTTGTGAGTGCCCTTCTTTCTTTCTTTTTTTTTTTTTCTTACTCCCTCTCTCTCTGTCCCTGAGTTTCTCTTTTGTCCCCAATTTGCACTCCTAACGTATGACGTGTGGTGAGCCAGCAGGATGGTTTCTGGATGAGAGGTTACCATGGTGACAGAGCTGATGTGTTTCATGGCCAGATTAGAAGGATATTGGATGAGACCCTACACTCACATCAAGTTTTGTATGCGACTGTGTGTGTGTGTGTGTGTGCGTAATGTGTGTCCTTAAATGTAGTGTACAATTGCCTGCAAAGATCACAGTTCATTTCCAGATGAAACAAGTGTGCACTCTGTGTGTGCGTCACTACGTCAGAGAGCGGTGTCATCTTACATGACCGTAACTGCTGTATTTACTTCACCACATCAGCAGCGTCAGTTCACATTCCACTTAGGAGCTCTTTCCCTGAGATTGCTCTCTCACGCCCACTCAGCCACTCCCACACTTCCTCTACAAATGCACAGCTCGACCAGATCTGGCAGCAGGATTGGAGTGCTATTAAATGATGTTTTATCAAGCTGCATGAGGCTGATGTGGGTGTTGTGGCTGATTCACCAGTCCTGCAATGAAACAGATTTTAATGCAGTAGGTAAGGAGCAAAACTTCAGCCGTACTCAGCTCCCTGAGTGAATACGGTGCAGCCAAAGCTGGGCTCTAACACCCACACTGACTAACCCTGACAAGAAAACTGTCACCCTGCACCACATCGGCCTCGAAATTTTAGGAAAGGATGACAGAAAACTGCAGTGGCCCTCACCAGTGCAGTCATCTGTTCTGTGAATGATTGCGTGTGTCTGTGATTTTCACAGGAAGCCCCTCCACCAAACAGTCTGCTGCTCAAGGCACTCGTTCTCCAGCGCCTAAAGTTCACACTGGCACCTTCCTCTCCTCAGGGGTGAAGGTGAGTTGATAGAGCATTATTGGTTTCAATCTTGAGCCTGAATTCTTGTGAGCCAAATATCTCTTTGTACAGATCTGTCCTCCAACTGTGAAGATAGTCTGTCCCTGTAGTATCTGTATCTTTAACAAAGCAGTGTGGTATTAATAGTAGGCTAGGGTGCTATCTTCAGCAGATGTGAGTGCCTTGGCAGCTATTTAAATGGGACATCATTGTGAAGAAGGGGGAGGGGGTGTGGGAAGCTTTGCAGAGAGAATTGCACAGTTCTGTTTCATGCAAAAATGTGTCAATAGCCTGCTGTAAAATCTTCCCACTCCCACATGCTCATCATCTCATCACTGTAAAGACATAATGAAATATGATTTCACTTAAAATTTTAATTTTATTGCAGTGATGCTTTCATTAGTTCAGAGTCTGTATTTTTCTCAGTTGTAAACCATTGATCCATTGATATCTGCTGTCATACTAAAGGCCAGGACAGAGGGGACAGATGGTGTAATAATAATAAAAGCATCCACTTGATAAATAAATGATGATGCTGATTTTCAAAGATCTGCTTTAAGCAGTGAATCTCTTCTTGCTGCTCTGTCTGTAGCCTGCTGAAAGAGAATAAGTAGATCTTCATGTACAGCCGAAATGCATCATATTAATCATTCATGCGTGTTTTTTTATTTTTTTTTCCCCTCAGTAGAGTAGCCAGTTTTTCAACAAGTGTATAACAGCTGCAATATCTGCAGCCTGCAGTGGCTCTAAGGCAGCGTGGCCTTCCAGTTACAGTCCCTCTCTCCATGTTACTTGTGCAGGTTATTATCAAGCAGGAGCCAGGGGAAGTTTCAGCACAGCAACAGCAGATGGTTTCCACAGTAACCAGCCAGCAGCAACCTGCTGCTACAGCAGCGCACCAGTTTGTCGCAGTGAAGGGAGGTCACATGATCTCCATGTCGGCCCAGAAACAGGCCGGAGGGGCCACAGGGGCGACAACTGGCAAGGTCAGTGTTTGTTGGGTTTACCCAGACACACCTACACAGAGGCATACCAGTAATTCACATGCTAATTGCAATATACAGGTGTGTCTCAAATTAGTAACTTGAAAACTTAATTAGGCACTTTTCTTTTTCTAGATGTTAGGTATTCCTGTTAGCTCAACACTTCAGTCTTCGGTCAAACAGGTTGCTATCAGCAGCGGACAGATCCTGGTTGCCAAGGGCAACCCTTCTGTCTCAAAGGTGATGGGTGGGAAGCAAGTTTTGGCTCAGGGAGTCGCTAAAGCCATTGTCAGTGGAGCCAGTGGCATCTCTGGTCAACAGGCTGCTGCCAAGGCGGCTGGAGGTTCAAGTGGAAAAAGTGGAGGTCAGAGTTCCACATACATACACACAATGTCAGTTTTCACGAGAGCAGGACAAGTAACACGACAATTATTGTAACTGCAGTTTTGAATTCCACAGCCAGTTAAAGGACGTAGGCCTGTTTTACAAAGTTGTTCATTCAGTCACGACTGTTTTACTAATGATTAGGAGAGTTAAGTCTGTGACTTAAAAGTATAAAGCTTGTATTGTACTTAACTCTATACTTTGAATGAATTTAAAAGATAATATTTTTCATCAAGGAAAAATGTATTGTGTGTATTGAGATCAGTTTCATTTTCTAAAAAAAATCTGTACAATTTCAGGGTAATAATTTTTCTGTCTCTGTATGTTCTCAGTGATGGCTACGCTTCAGCTGCCAGCCAACAATCTGGCCAATCTGGCCAATTTGCCTCCAGGCACCAAACTCTACCTGACAACCAACAGTAAAAACCCCTCAGGGAAGGGAAAGCTGCTTCTCATCCCACAGGGAGCTATACTCCGAGCCTCCAGTGCAAGTGAGACAACCTATATTCATATTTTTTGATCTAGCCTTCGAGAAAGGAATCCTGCATCAATTTTTAGTGGTTTCGGCATTCTACCTTCCTTCTTTATTCCATTTTTAGTCAGATACTTGACACACTCCTCCCATGCTCTTGGAAGTTCTGGGTCTTAGGACCAGAGAAAGAAGTTCTCTTATTGTCACGAATGCCATCTTCTCATATAGCTGTCTGTGTCATGGCATTGTTGTGGCAGCAAAACTCAACACGAGGGACAGATTACTTAGGTTATGTTGGTCTTGTTTAACACTTAAAGGGTCTTATTTGCTTGAGAATACACACTGGTGAGAGATGGGTTAAAACTCACCTGCTGAGCAATGTCCCACCAGCAGCAAGAGCCCTGTAACACTGAAATGTAATTAATCAAGTAAAATACAGCCCATGATGTTGTAAATGTAAATATAATGTCCTCAAATATAATGCATTGTCTACTTTGTAGATAGAGTTTCCAGGACATTGTCTTAAACTTGGACCTCAACTGTAGTTTGATGTCCACAATAAAGTGGAACACTGATAAGTTCAGTGTCTTATGACATACCACACATTATTTAGCAGGTGTTATAAGTATACATTTGTTCTTCTTCTGTGTCTCCTACAAGGTAGTCTGGCCTCAGATGCTTTATGAACTGTCTTAGTTCAAATTGAAAGTAATATCTGGTTCTGTAGGTGACTCAGTATTTGGGGTTAGCGTCCCAGCCAAAAGCAGTTTGACTTGACATCTTCCTCCATGCCTCAAGTTGTAGACAGCTGTACTAAAAATGTTATTGCTCTGGGCTCATCATAAAGTTTGGAAAAAGAAATCCACTTCTGAAGTGACTCTACAACTAGAGGCATGCTGGTGGCAGTTACAGATATTGGCTGCTGTGCTACTGCTAGACAGTGAGTCAGTCAGAGCATCTGTTTCTTTCTGCTTAAACAGTTTTTTTTTTTTTTGCAGCATCCAGCCTTTAATCTAAAAACATATGTTTCACAGCCGTAAACCAATATTGCACTGTCCCGTTCTGCTTCACAATCATGTTTTTAACTAATTCAAAACTAAAGAGATGATATGTTAATTTAGGATATAGGAAAAACAGGATTGTTTATCTGATTTGAGACTAATTTGTGTATGGCTGTAATTTAGGTCAGCAGTCTCAGAGCAGCTCGTCAGCAGGCACTGGTGGCTCTCAGAACTCCTCCTCCTCTTCCTCTTCAAGCAGTCTGCCTTCCAACCTCTCCTACACGTCCTATATCCTTAAACAGACCCCACAGGTGGGTGGCCACGCGTTTTCTCTGTGATTAAAATCCTTATTTTGTTAAGTCTTTTGTGTCTCTGTGAATTCCCATTTTTGTTTATTGAAGCATCAGTAGTTACTTGCTGGAACGTTTAAACAGTGTTTAATCGCAGTCTGTAGGAAACTGATGACGCTTTGCATATTTATCCATTATCCTCTCCACTGTTACAAAAAAACTGATTTTCTGCTTTATTCCTTAATAGCATGACTTGCACTGTCTCCACATGGGGTTTTCTTTTTCTTGGTGAATGTCAGATTTTTGTGTTCTAGTCGAGGTCGAGCCCAACTTGTTCTTAATTAGACGCGTTCATTATAGCAGCATTGATCCTGCAGTCAGTCTTAGAACAGTGCTGTCTGTGCAGTTAGCCGACAGTGTATAATGAAGTTATCTGCAGAGGTTTCACTGAGTTTCCCACCTACATTTAAAGTAGAACTCTGGACTGTGTTTTCCTAATAGTAATCAATCTGTTAGGTAAGCGTTAATTAAGTGTGATGTCTATACATATACATAGTGTACTCTCAACGACTAAAGAGCCAGTGCACATGTACGTTCTCTTTAAGACCTTAATGATGAACTGATTTCAAAGCCTATTGAAACTGAACTTAATGACCTTGTACATTATGAAAATGTATTAAAATGTACTGTCCCACCGAAGACTGGTGACATCATGTCAGTCTTAAGATCAGAATATAAAAGGACTGTACCTTTTTTTTTTTTTTTTTTTTTAAATCTATTTGTCAGTCGTGTGTGGTTTCCCTTGCTTCATCTAAACCATGACGGTGCAATTGATTTTAGATTTAATGTCACTGACTGTGAATTTAATGTACGTAATAATGTCATTGGAGTTCCACCTCACCCTCTCTTGTCCGCTTTTCCCAGGGCACGTTTCTGGTTGGCCAGCCAGCACAGGGTTCAGGGAAGCAGGGGGGTTCCAGTTCGGCAGGTCATGCAGCATCATCTCCAGCAGCTGTTTCGCAGCAGGCTATTCGGGTCACAGCTGGACAGAAGGCAGCCATCCTGGCCCAGGTCAGTATGGGGAGCTTGTCTGAGCGCAGGGCTTTACCAGGGCTGCAACCTCTACAGTGTGAGATACTACTGTTTGTGTTTATTCACTGTTTAACACGAACCGGCAGTTAAGAGCTACAGGGACTGTCTGATAACTGGCTCGCCTTTGGGACACGAATCAGGCAGAATCTGGCAGAACAATGACGAGTACAGTTTTGACACAGCCGCACTTCAAAGCTTGTTTTGGTTGGAGTTGTCTAAACAAAATGAATCGCTTCAATTTGTAACATGCAACTGAAATAAGTTTATTCAAATTAAGTTACCAAGTAATATTTGTGCCACTGGTTTAAGCTAGATGTGCTTTTTATTGAGCAAATTCAAATTGCTTTGACTTAATTTTGAGGAAAGTAAACTTGAAGTTTCCAGTTTTTCCAACTGAATTATTCGCTACCCAAGTGTAAAATGTAGAACATGATTTTGTCATTAGACTTACTGTTCTTTTCTTTTCTTTGGTAATTCCTCTTGAAGAAAAAGCAGGTTTTCAGTCTGAAGAAACGTGGATGTCATAACGTCAGACACACAATGCTAAAGGAGCAGTTAACCTTTTTTTTTTTCTTTCTTTCTTTCTTTCTTTCTTTCTTTCTTTCTTTCTTTTTAACTCAAAATTTGAATCTAATTTAAAGAAACCAGAACAGAAAGATCAGTACTTAATTTCAACTGTATGTCAAATACAGTTTTTACAGTGTAAGTACCCCCCGAGTTTACGAGTTAAACAAGTGATAGGAATGCGTTCCTGTTTAATGTTTTCTTTGGCAAAGTACATTAAAAGTTTTATTTTGCACATTTCCAATAGATTTCATTTGCTTCATTGTCCCCTGATAGGCAGATTGGAATTCATGATTATACTTTCTTTCATTACATTTGATGAGTTCTCTTATCTCAGTTTTCTTTAGAGAATTTTTTTTAATTCAGAAGCTGCAAAGAGAGGTATTGTTTGAGTTGAATAAGAATAGAATAATTACTTTCCCTCGTGTTCTGTCCAATATGTGAATGAGTTGCAACATTGAAAGACTTGTCCAGACAGCAGCTGTAGGTCTCAGTCATCAGTGGGTTGTTTGGCTGGAGGTGGATAAGTCCTCATGCACCTTACTTGTTTCATTTTATGTATCGGCATCGTAAGCAGCTTCTTTACTTTGCCCAACTGGTGTGGTTGGTTACAGAGTTGGTATTAAATGTAGCCAGTGTAGTCTAGGTTTAAGTGTAATTTAATACTTTGGGGGATTTATTGAGCATTTTAGTGGGTATGCTGAACAAAGGCTATAAAGGTGTGGGTTTGTCAGAGTCTAAAGAAAATGACGATTTTACACTGAATTTTTTTAAATTATCTGTTCCATCACTTCATTGCCAGTTTTATTAGGCTTGTATGGATTGTTGTTTTAAGTCAGCAATTGCTTTTTTTCTGTGATTGACAGGTAGTGGGCGGCGCCCAGGGTGCACAGGTGAAGTTGTCTGACGGCTCCGTTAAGACAGTCACAGCAGCCGGAGCAGGCCACTTGTCCAAGCCGGGTACCACCACATTGAGGATGACTGGTGGAGTCATCACTGCTGCTAGTTCCACCCCCGGCTCTGTCAGCGCCGCCGCAGCAGCAGCAGCAGCCCAACAACAGGCTAGTTTCAGTTTCCGCGTTCTTTTTTTAAAATGTATTTTGCCTGACAGCTGTTCCCCTTTAAAAGTCATTTTAAACCAAACAGCAGTTGAATTTGGAATGAACATTTGGGATGCTTGCAAACTGATTATTTTGTACCTCACTTTTCCTAAACAGTGGCATTTCCACTAAATCTGGTTGAATATAATTCCATATTTCCCAATAACAACATTAATGATCTAAATGTAATTTATAAATTATTTTCATGGGAAATAAAGTGCATCCATACAGTGCAACAAATGTACATTTAACAAGTAGTTTGGTGCTTTTGCATTCAAGTGTGTAACAATTTAGCTCTTTCTACACGTTTGTGTAAGTGGGATAAATCAAATGAAGCATTTGCCACTGCAATAGGAAAGTGTGAATCAGTGGCAATGCAGTAGCAAGGTCAGTGATTTATTTGTCAGAAAGAGTGGAGAGCTTAGATGGTGTATGAAGAGCCCTAAGCAGTACATCAGCAGTGATCTAGGTTGGGGTGATTACAGCTTTAGAGTCAGAGGCCAGGCCTCATTAACTAGAGAAATGGAAACACTTCCTAGAGGCTCCAACACACAAAAACAAATATGTATACAGCATTTAACACTCTTGAGAGATGTTGGCGCAAGCACAAGAGAGGAAACTGCTCTTTATGAGGACTCTCTGTGAGAGAAATTGACTCTTTTGTCTTTGAGAATTCCATAAAACCAGTGACCTGATCAACACAGCTCACTGTGGAAGCTGCAAAGCACTGGACAACAAACAGTAACAGTATAAAGAAAAGACCGATAACAGTAACTAGTCCAGCCGCAGTAAATCTTCTTCCTCTAAACACTGCTATACTATAAATGGATTTTCACATGAATAATTGCAACGCCATTACCACATTCACTCTCATGTCACTGAGGGTAAGGTGAGATGTTTTCCCATAAAATGTTTTTTTTCTGTGCCTTGCCTTATAAAGTATTTAATTTAACTGAACCATGGGATGCACATTATAGCAGCATAGTTTGTCATAAGAACACGAGCAGGTTAGAATTAATTATACGTCTTTTCAGCCTTAGCTGTGCTTCGGCTCTGTTGATTGACAAACACATTGAAAGAGTTCCAATGGGCTTCTGTTTATTTCCTGTTTGACTGATGTGTTTGTGTGGTCATGTAGACTGCTGATGGTGGGAAGTCTGCATCTCAGCACCACTCACTCCTGGTGGCTGCCAACCAAGCAGCAGTAATCAGCGCAGCCAAGAACGCCAGCGCTGCTGCAGGCGGCAGCTTGTCGAAGACAGCTGTGGCCTCCTTGGTCAAGGGGGCTGGCAGCTCTGCCACAATGACAAAGAGTGCTGTGGGCTCAACTGGTGCCGTAGTAACAGTAGCAAAAGGGATCACCAATATGCCCGTCATTAGCATGTCCAAGGGGGCTGGGGTGGGGACTGTCGTGGGTGTTCCCAAAAGCAGCGGCACGTCGTTGGTTAATGCAGCCTCATTAGTCAGCGGGGTGGCAGCCGGAGGAGGGAAGACAGGAGCTGCTCTGTCAGGTAGGCAGAAACAAAACTCGTACTGCATACATCTGTTGGTTTTATGTGTGAACAAATTATTTGGACAAATGTAGTACTGGTCCAGCTGCAAGTTGTTCTTGTATGGTTTGCATTTTGTTTTTGCCAGGTATGCTGAAGATCCACTCTGGAGGTTCCAGCTCCCAGCAGACAGTCTTAACCATTCCTGCTAACCAGCTCAAGCAGCTGGGGGTTGGCACTGGGTCTGGTGGGCTGCAGACCATATTCATGCCTGTTGGGAAAGGTAAGGGGTCTTCAGTGATGAAACATACAGCAAGTGTGTATTCCAGACGGGGAAAAAAATGGGTGCTTAGTGATAAAAACCAAAATGCATTGACATTGATTTCTTTGTTGGTGTGCCACGTCTTTAACAATCAGTTTCTGAAGAACAAATAAAATACATCATGATGGTCTCACAGGATTTTATTGCAAGACTGCAGTAGCTAACTGCTTTATTTAGCCTGTCTTTCTGAACTAAGTTATTTTGTCGATGCAGATGACTGCAGAATGTGATTTATTTGAGTCAGACACTCAGTCGTACTGTAGATTGTCGTCTTTCTGTAATGCCCATCTTCCTGCCCTCTCATTTTCCATCTCAGTGTTAAGCCTACTTACCTAATGGGCCATTGATCCATCCTAGTGTGTTTTCTCTGTGTATAGTAGTGTCTAAAGGCCCAGTCTCCAGTACTCCTTCCTCCTCCTCTTCCACCACCCCTGGAGCACCTGGAGCTGGAGCCTCCCCAAGTCCTGCCAGTCAGGCCTCCCCCTCCCTTGCCCTGCCTCTGGCACAAGGTGAGAGGGATCCATCCTCACTTCAGCCATTCTTCTCTCTTCTTTCCTTCTTTAATTCCCAACCACCGTATAATTTGAAATGTTGGTACTGACAAGAAGATAAACCATTGCAGCCTTCTACACTGAGAAACATTGACCTTTTGTTTGATTTAATAACATACAGCGTGTTAGGCATAAACTCAGTTGTGTTTTGTTTAATACAAACAATTTAGCCGAACTTTTCCTAAATAATTTACACTATTCAGAATATAATTTAATCCCAAATATGTGATGATAGGAAAAAAGTAAACTAGAATCTGAACAGTCTTTAATACTTGAGACAGTTTTGGTCACTACTCAAAATACATTCGGATTGGTATCCACCCCCGTAGTACGTTCTTGTAGCATCACTTCATCATTGCCTTATCTCGCCCCACTTGTAGTATGTGAACAATAAAATCAGCCTTTGTCTCACACGGGCATTTCTGCTGTCGCTCTCTGCTGCCACAGTGAAGACAGAGCCAGGTGCTGGCACAGCCGTCACAGCTGGTCCGTCTCCCCCGGTGACTGCTCCTGCCCCCCCTTCTGTCCACGTCGCCTCTGCAGCTACGACTGTCAAGCAGGAACAAGGGGCAGATAGCGCTACGCATGACCTCATCAAGTAAGGACCAGTTGCAACGCTGCTTGCTGAACATATACACAATAGTTAGTTAAAGGGATAGATCATTTATTGTTTGTATAGAGAAAAAGCAGAAATATATTCCACTGCACCTTCCACTGACACAGAATCATCAGATAATAATGTTTTTACAAATTTTACCAGTTAAGTATTAATGGATCCATTTTTAACTGGAACAATTCTTCATTTGTCAGACTAGAGCTTCATTTGTTAAAAAATATTGCAGGGCTGCAGCAGCATGTTAATGGAGAATTGTGATAATACTTTCTCTTCTCAGCTGCCATGTCAGTGAATGTATATTCTAGATAGTAAACCTGACAGCTGTGATTGCTTCTTCCTCAGCACTGAGCACATAGAAACCATGATGCAGCTGCTGACAGCCGTGGTGAAGAAATTCCCTCTGATTGTGCCAGATAAGAGTAAGTAAGCTTTGCTGTTCGTTTGGTACACTTAAAAACAGACCTCATATAAAAGCTGTCCGCAAAGTAAAACGCTGGCTTTTCTCAAGCTGTTAAATTCTGTTTCTCTGTTTGTTTAGCCGAAGACTCCCATCCGTTTTGTGCCTCTTCGACGGAGCAGTATTATTCCTGGAATATTGGCAAGCGCAGAGCATCGGAGGTGACTTTTTGTTTTTTTGTCTGTGTGTATCTTGTTATGACAGATCAAACTAAATACATTTCCTCCAGTGAAAGTTTCATTTGATGTGAAAGTGACAGTATTCCCTTCCTAGCACCTACGCTCCAGGTTCCAGGTTGAGGGCGCCTGTAATGTCAGCGATAATTTGCAGCGTTTGCACTTTTGTTGTCTGTGTAATCTGTCTTCGCGCTGCCCACCAACTTCGAACTTTCTGCTTGCCTCATGTGTTTCTATCAGGTCCGATGTGTATCTCTGCCTGCGTGTCTCCTGTCATCTCGTCCTAATGTGTTCATCAATAGCTCATACAGGCCACTCCATGTCTTAGCAATCTGTTCTCGTTTTCTTCGGCTATAAAAGGATCTTAGACAAGCCCAGACGTAGATATTTATAACTACAGGTCACTAATTTACTTAGAGGACAGGGGACGCGAAGCACATCATTACAGTACGAATACAGGGAAAGATCGACTCCAGGGTAGTGTACTCGCGCAGAAAAAAAAGAATGTGTGCACACAAATTTTTGCACAATCAGACGCTGGTATTTTGGTCAGTAAGCAAAAAGGGATTAACACAAAATGTGAATCTGTGTCAATCTGTGGATTTTAGTGCTTTCAGGCCTAATGTAAGTTAAAAGTGCTTAATAGTTTTTGGCATGCGTGTCTGTGCAGCTTCAGCGAGCAGTGGCAGTGAAGCGGGTTGTCCAGGACGTGTTGGACCGCTCACCCCGCCTGCAGGCCCTCACTCCCCCAAAAACCAGAGAGGTGGTGCAGTGGTGCCGACAGAGGGGCTACACGCCACCTGACCCCGAGCCCCAAAACAAGAACGATGACGAGTCCATCGAGGACATTCTCACACAAATAGACAATGAGCCTGGTGAGTTTCTGTCTTTTCTGTGTGTGGTTTTGGTGCCTATCTTGTTCATTTACTAGGGCTCGTTTTTGCCATTTCACAGTCTGCTCTTTTTCTGGTTTCAGCAGCTCACAGTGGATCAATATTCAGTGTTGCATGTGTGGGTGTATATTGCTTCTGCAGTTACCAGTTGATCCAGTTACGTGTTTGCAGTGCAGTTGTGTGTGAGGGCGAGCCGTGTGCAGCCTCAGTGTTTTTGTTCAGCCACTTTGTTTTATTCACTGGCAGTTCTCATTAATTCTGTCTTTTGTTGAGAGAATAGGCTGCTTAGCTCACTGAGTCTCACACTCACCAGAGCCAGACAATGAAAAATGTGTGTTTGTGTTCTTGTGTCAATCTGTCTCGCACTAATATCTCGGTTTAAAATTGTCACATTGTTGATCCGGTACAATGACCAAGTATTACACAAAAGCTTTAACAACTCCCAAAACTTTTGCTTTGAAGGTGCCTTCCCACAGTATTTTATTTTGAAAGTTCAGTCGCCACTAATCAGCCAGCACTGGCCTGTCCTGTCTCATGTTTCCAGTTCGCTGTTGTGGCGGTCCTCAGTGTCAATTATCTGCCTCTCCAGTGAGTCTCTCTCCCCCCAGTTGCACTCCTTCCCCACCGTCTCCAACTGTAGCTGGCAACAGTAGTCTTCTTCCTTGTCATGGGTGGACTTGATGGTGTTTTTGTTCTGGTCTGCAGCCACTGTGAGCTTCAGACTCGTCCAAACTGAAGTTCAACTCTATCTGCAGGCAATATACTAACTGGAAAGGCACCTAAATGACACGGAGGGCGTCATGACAACGAACTGGCCAGCCAGCAGAGACACAGGACAGACTGAACTTCCAACATAAAATCCTTAAATGTAGCAGTTTTAAACACACGTCCACATCTTAAGAATTTGCAATCTGAGTGGAATACTGAAGCAGTTGCTGTTTGTGCTTGTGATGGTGTGTTAAATGTACATGTGTATCCGTCTGCAGAGTGCCCATCGACCCTGAGTACCTGCGATGAGCTGTTGTTGAGGCTGGAGCAGATGCAAGCTCTGCTGAAAACAGAACCAGAGGAGGCGGACGATGAAATAGTCGACATTGTCACTGTGACTCCTCCCTGCCAGAAACTAAAGGTCAAAGAGGAGGAGCCAGAAGCTGACGTGGAGCCCAAATTCTTCCTGGGCCCCTGCACGTCCACCCAGTTCGTCAGTGAAACAGCTCAGCAGGTCGGGAACTTCTCCAGGTTTTAGTCTTAATGCAGTGAGAGATGATGGATTCAACTGATAACATCTTGCTACTTGGCTTCTTTTAGTAACTGAAGTCTTGACAAGAAGAAGCTCCACCTTTCTCCGGTTGTATATGATGAGCTCTCTGTCTGTTTCAGATCGGAGTAACCTACCAGCCAGTGGAGGTGGAGAAGAACGTGTTCGCTCCAGTAGTCGAGGCAATGATTCTGAAGGTTGGTCACCTCCCTCTTCTGCAGGAGGGATGCATAATCAAGGACTTGCTCACTTTCATGTGCAATATTATTGGACTTTTCAGTATCTTGTGCAGTTTTTATCTGGTGCAATAGTTTCACTATCAATGCCATCATTATCAAGTGCAATGTTTCTGTGACATACATCTGTTAACTTTTTATTTCACTTTCTGTATATTTATCTGTTTCTTGTTACCTTTTTGTATATGTTATTTGTTAGGCACTATTTCTTGGCATCCACTTTGACACTTTACACACTTAGACACTTTGCATTTCGTCCTTTGCGTTCTTACTTGATTTCTGTTTAATTACTAACCTTTCTGTAATTGTGTATATTGTATACATTTCTCTCACCTTTGTTTATTGTACTCTGGCAAAACAAATTCCTTTGGATGAATACAGTTGATCTTGTCTTAGAATATGAGCTATCCGGGGCGCTGCTATAGCTCACCTGGTTGAGCTGGCGTCCCATATACAGGGCTACAGTCCCGATGTGGAGGTCATGGGTTCGAATCCCGCTCATGACCCTTTCCCACATGTCCTCCCCCTACTCTTGTCCCCCACTTTCCTGTCTCTCTCTCACTGACCTATCAAATAAAGGCACAAAAAAATAACTTAAAAAGAAAAGAATATGAGCTATCCCTGTACAGCAGCTCATCTTTACCTCAATAAAGTCTTGGCTTGACTTGGATGGTGAACATACAATGTGAATAGGATGTCCACCTGCACAGTATTGCATGTGTCACTGTTCAGTCGTGACTAATCATGACTCTGTGTGTATGTGTGTCTACTGCAGGCTACCGAACAGTTTGCCAGTGACATCCTGAGAGAAGCTCTGGCTGGGGCCTATGCCAAATCCCCTCCAAACAGGTCAGCTTTTTTTTTTCCTCTCTCCAACAGGCAACCTGCTTAGTGCTCCATTTTTCACTTTATTAATTATATCTGGGGCTCATCCAACCGACCAGTTTGTTACCCAACTTGTTCTTTTCATGTCTATAAATTGACTATTGAATAAATATCCTTTAATAAATGTCCCATTGCAATAACGCTACATTCACATCAGCACAGTTTGTTTAAGTAATGTTGGAATCAAACAGAGGAAAATAGTGTAGATAAACTATTTGGTGCTGTGTGGAACATGTTTGTTGGTTTTAATGTGTGTTGAAAGCAAAAGTTAATAAAGGTTTTATAGTTTTCTCATGTAAAAAAAATGCCATAAAAACACCAAAACCAATTATTTGTTCATAATTCTAACAAGTTTCTGTGTAGCCAAAGTCTCATAAAGCTTATCCCTCTGTAAATAGTTTCTAATACTGTTGTTTCCCCCTGAACTATGATAACACATCCATGAGTTGCACACATTATCATTATGCCACCATATTTTATTTTTAGCCGGTCTCACATACACCATGCTGCTGGCATAAACACTTGCTAGAGCACCAAATGCGTATTAATCTACAGCTGAAAATAGTCCCAGCTAGATTTGTTTGCTTGTCTTGAGCTCTGTAATAAATACAAGGAGCTTCTGCCTTTTTATGCCGTGGTAACCATGAGTAGAAACTGCTGTTTTTTTTAGCTGCACAGTATTTTATGTTTTGTGCCATTTACATAGTGTAAGAAAGCAGAGCACAGACCTCTTAGTGCTTTGATTCAGATTAATATTTAATAGTCGTAAATATTCAGGAACCAACCAGTGACGTCCCAGTCTGAAACATGTTTCTAGTGTGTTGAGGTATTTCTAGAATCCTAACTCGGTTGCATTTGGGTTTGCAGAGCGCCCAGAGAGATCACAGCCATGAACATCCACCAGGCGGTCAGTAGTATCCCCACCTGCGACTTCCTCACCAACACACACATGGGTTACCTGACTAAGGACAAGTGATACCGACTGGTAGCTGAATCACTTAGAGAGATGAGGACTATCTGAACTGCTGGCCGTGACAAAGAGACTCTTGCTCTTGGAACTGACAGCGCTCCTGTGCAAATATTCGCACCCAGATGTAGTCCTGTTGCCTCAGGTTGCGCAGTAATAACTAATGCACTGTATTCATTAACTTGATCATAGAAGGGCTCAGCTTGCTTCTCAAAGCAGCTGCACAGCATCAGAATATCAATTGTTTCTAATACTCTGGATATGTTGTAACATTTTAGTCCAAATGTGTGGAGAGAAGCGCCATTGTGGGGCTCGTGTTATTTGATTTGGAGAGGCTGTTGTGGCTCTTGCTTACCTCATAACAAGATTATTTTAATGAAGTGTTTCCTGCCAGACAGCCAGCATCTCATCGGGGAAATGACGCCTGAGTGACTTACAGGGCTAAATTATAACATCAGACAGCTGTCCCCCTCCTGCATACTCCCACCTTGCTGTCACAGCCCTTGAATTTATAAGAATCGTTTTTTTTTTGCAGCTGAGGCGAACCACAGATTTACAGCGATTTGGAAACACTGATCAGCATCTGAGTGTTTTCCATCAGTCAGCGGGCACTTTGGATGTAGCAAACAGAGTGTTTCTTCCAAAAGTGCAGTTGCCGTGGCAACCAATGATCGTCATTACCAACATGCTTGGATGTGTTTCAGTGTTACCTGGCAGAGGTAATTATGGGTCTTTGCAGAACAAACAATGCGGGAAGTGGCTGTGTTCTAGAGCGTTTCATAGACGGATAACGGCACCGAGGCCTTCATTAAGTCTCTCGAAAAAAATCTCATGTCTCCTTAGGATAAAGGTAGTGGTGAACTCAGCAGATCATTGTGTCATTGTGATTCCAGGACGCTCTTAATATTTATCTTTTTCTTCATGACCCAGGTCTAGCAGCCCTTTGAAGTGCTTTTAAGTGTTCTGTTTAACAACCGTAATGTATCTTATCATGTAATGTATAGTGTATATGAAGTATGGTGTTTTCAAATACTGTTTATTTTTTTATCTAATATCAACACCTGCGAACAGTGATGCCCTAACAGTAGTGAGTGTGTTTATATGAATATGTGTGGTTATTGGATGTAGTCCCCCCCCTCCCCCCCACTGAAGTCAGTGCATTTGATGGTAAGTGAATGCTAGTGCGTGTTTTTTGTCAGTTGATTCCAATAAGGCTGTGTCGTCTTGGTAATTCTCTTTAATGTGGAGCTTTGCATTATGTTAATGTGTGGATGACTGGACAAGTGAATGTGTTCGGGGCTGAGTGGATATAATGCCTGTTCAACCAAATCAATTAGTGTAGAAGATACCTAAATATTGTATTTTCATGTTTCGGTGCAAACCAAAAGTATAATCAATATTCTTATAATAAACTTGGAAAAAAACATTTCTTGCAAACCTGACTTGTGTTAAACTTTTTTTTGGTTTGTTCTCAAGAGTTAAAAGGCCAGTTCGAGAGGAAAAATCCAGTTTCACAATGTGCTTCTATTTATATTTCTGCCTCAGATGTTGTTTCTGCTTGTGCGGATAATCCACAAACCTCACCGACCACGGTTGTCATTGAAACTAGTCCTGATAAAGACTGTCCACAGGAAGGTTTGTAGAATACCCAAAGCAGTAACTCCAAAAGAGAGAATGCTGGTAAATTCTTTTTTTCAGGAACAGTTTGACACTTTGGAAAACATTCACTTTCTTTCCTGAGAGTTAGATCATTAGGGAATTATAGCCACGAGGCAGAGTGCAATCAATCATCTCCTATAAGTCTTGGAAAGAGAGGGGATAAGTTTAATCCCCAAACTTCTCCTTTCATATGAAGTTTCAATGCTTTGAGTACAACAAACAGGATTCCACTCACCTCCTTTGTGTTCACCTGAGGCCTAATTAAAACCATCTGCATGCACATATACTTTGCAGTTCAGAAAATATATTATTTTGTCCGCTGAGCCTGCAGATTTTTCCCTTCCGAATCTGCTTTCATAGTACCTAACCTTTTGAATAATAGCAGTCCATTGCAATCAGGACTCCATTCATGCAAATCCCGTAAATGACTAATGATTCACGGAACAAGAAAAAAAATCCAGCCGAGGAGGCGTCTGAGAGAAAGTGCTAAGAACCTAGCTAATAATCATTTATTGCGATTTCACTTACATCATATATTTGCGCTTTTTTTCTTTAACAATAGATTTACAAAATGAGACCGAACAATACTTTCCCAAAATAGCAAATGAATTGAATACTGAGGAAATAACTTATTTTCGAGCAGATTTCTAGCAACACCGAAGGGCAACGTAGTACTCTAAAGCACTCGATGACAAACAACGTCATTGGTGCAGACTCAACACTATGTACGATAAAAGGGACGAATCGGCAGGCGCGCACACAAACTCACACACACACACACACACAGAGCAGCCAGTTTCTTGTGCGTCTATAACCGCAAAAACAAAAAGAAAGCTTGTTTTAAAACTATTGTGTTACATGCATATTCATTTCCATAGTAACGAGGAGGGTCGGGTGGGGTGGGGGGCAGGAAGGAGTGTAAAAGGAAGGTTGTCGATCACCACGCCGCAGCTCCACAGGCTTCATCACAATACATTCCCTTGCATAGATTCTTGTGTTGTGGAATGGACTGAAAACATTCCCCTGTTGATTCCGTTAAAAATTTGAAACCGGTCAAAGTGGAATGGTTGGAAAGATCGCAGCAGCCGTCAGATGTTGAAGACCCTCGATCCGCTTTGAAAGACGGCAGAAGGGTTTGGAGGGAGTTTGGTCCTCACCAGATGTTCCTAGGACGAGAGAGAGAGAGAGAGAGAGAGAGAGAGAGAGTGAGAGGTGTAACAGCAGCCTTTAAGATGCTCAGAGAGATGAAAACCGATAGCAGCAGCTGTGGCGCTCTCGCTGGACCCGTGAAATGAGAGGAGACCGGTCGGACCGAGCCGTCAGAAAGCATCAGGTCCGCTGTCAGAGCGCGAGCAGCCTGGACTGTATCGCTGTTTCCTGCTTAGTGCTGCTCAGTTCTGCTGATGGCAGCCGTTCTCAGAGCTCGGCGATCATCTATCCAGGGGGGGACAGTGGTGAATACATAAATAAAACGTCCGGCAAACGTGGAGCAACTCAACCGCGCTCTGTTCTTTCTAGCAATTATTGGATCTGTCGATGAAAATGGGTGTTTTCAGTTTCTCAATCGGAGTCTGTAGGGGGGGATTGTCAGCTCGCGGTCTCCCCGGCAGCACTCTGAATGTGACTGTAACGGCCTGGTGGGTGGCGGGGAAGGCCGGTACATGTTGTTCAGCAAGTCAGTTTGGTGTGTGAGTGTGTTCACCTCTTCCCCTCCCCCCTCCTCATCCACACACACACACACCCACACACACTTTCCTGCTCTGCGTAGCGGCCAGGTCTGCCTCTCTCCTAAATTAGATTGGTGCCAAACAAGACTGCAACCCGGTGCAACATTGCACTTTAACAGATAATCCATCAAACGGTGCACTCCACTTTACTGCCCTCCCCGCATCCTCCACTTCCCTCCCTCTCTCGTTCACCTATCCATCACACGGTGCATCTCATGCCCGTCTCCTCCCTATCTTTGTCTCTTCCCCTCCAGCCCTCACCCTTCTTCTGCCTTTGCCCTGTTCTTAACACAACCCTCTATTCCCTCCCCCGAGCTCTGCCAACTTGGCAGCGGACTCTCCCTGTGTAGTCCCGGGCAGCGTGGGAATTGGGATGAGGTCCAGTTGAGAGAAGAGGGAGAGCAATAAAGGGGGAGAATACTTGGGTTTGGGATGCAGAAGAAATGGAGGAAGAGGGGAAAAAAATGATGGAAGTAGGAATGAAAGAGATAAAAGGGGGGGCAACAGAAGAAGGAGACACATTTGCGAAAGAAGAACAAATGTGTTTTGCCTTTCTTTGCAGTGATTTTGCTATTTTTTGCAAAATCACTGCAACATTCATCATACAGAAGGCCCTGGCCTATGCAGTGACCAAACTCCACTTCACACAGGCTGATTAAGGTGGGACTTCTGCACCTTTATTACTATGGGAACCTGCCTCATTGCTGATATGTTTGTAAAACTTCCCCTCACATTTTTGTCTGGAATTTGTCTCAAGTACGTCGAAAATGTGTAACTTGTGTGGTTGACTTTGGAGGAAGTTGAACAAACATACTAGCCAACACACTTTTCAGCTGCTGCACTGTCAAATTGTGTAAATGTATAATTAAAAACAACTACTTTAGCCGGTTAAATACATGCCAGCTGTGTAACATACAGAGTTCATGCATCCTGGTTTGTACGTCTTTTGAGAAAATCCATCCATTGTCTATACACCACTTAATCCTCATTAGGGTCGTTGGGGGGGCAGACACTTAGAGACAGACAACCAAGCACACTCACATCCATGCCTACGAACAAATTAGAATCACCAATTAACCTCAACATGTTCTTGGACTGTGGGAGGAATGTAAATGGTTTGCACTTATATAGCGCTTTTCTACCTTAGCTGCACTCAAAGCGCTTTACAATGTTTTCTTATTCACACACACATTCATACACCAATGGCGACAGAGCTGCCATGCAAGGTGCTAGTCTGCCATTGGGAGCAACTTCGGGTTCCGTGTCTTGCCCAAGGACACTTTGACTGTGGAGGGGCGGGGGATCGAACCACCAACCTTACGATAAGAGGACAACTGCTCTACCACCTAAGTCACAGCCACCGGAGAACCCAGAGAGAACCCACATTGCACTGGGAGAACATGCAAACTCTACGCAGAAAGATCCCAGGCGTCCTAACCAGCACACAAACCAGGGATCTTCTACCTGCGAGGCGACGGTGCTAACCACGGAGCCACCTTACAGCCCCTTTGAGAAAAAAATTCACATAAAGTCGACCTCCTCACTTACTTCATACGTCTTTATACATGTACAAATCCCATAAAACTTCACAGTCAAAACAAATAAAATTGGCCTCTCTCCCATTACAGCGGTGCAGTTTCCATCAATCAGAGAAGCAATACATTTTCCGTACTTTACACGAAATTATGGACACCAAACAAAGCTGTGTGGACACCAGGTGTAATTCCACCAAGCTTTTCTCTGTTTAAGGTATGGAGGGGAAATTTTGTTGCACCTTTAAGCCAGTCGTGGAGGTTGCCAGTAAATGTGGAACAAGCCACCCTAGACACATCCAAAACGCCGGCATGCCACATGAAAGTGCATACCTGAGTGACAATACCCTGACTTACGCAGCTCAGTCTGAATAAGCAAAGGCAAGCAAAAACGGCATTTTAACGCAGTCTCTAGATGAAAGAGCTCGTGTCTCCTACAAGCCAACTAACTATCACTCTCACTGAATCCAGGATGGGGAGGCACCAGAGGTGGAAAACCAGATTTCAGCGTAGGCCCGTGACACCTAAACCACACTAACTGGAGCGAGAGGAGTGAGCGAAAGGAGGCAACAGGAAAGTGGATTTTTTGGGTGCACCGTCCCAGCAGGCCATCTAATCCTCTTTATGCAGCAAAACCATTGTGAGCTGCATTTCCATCACTTCACTGCACATCTATGTTACCGCCACAGCAAAATAAAGCACTGTTGTACATTGTATTCAGAAGTTAAGCAGTGCCCACAAGCTCTGAAAGCACAATCCCAAATCTCAGGGCACCGCTGCCTCTAAGCTGACTATAGAACAACCAAGAATTTGTCATAGCAAGAGTTCCTGCTGAGGTTCCACTCTGCCTGCTAAATGTGTTCCTCATTCGGCGCTTTTGTCTCGCTCATCCCCGACACACTGCAGATTATGCGGCCCATCCTCACAAATCTGTTTGCCGTGTGTTGTGCTGCGTTGCCAGGCCCTGATTCCGAAAACACACACACATGCACGCGCACTCACAGTTCACGCATTTAAGCCCAACCAGCCAGGTTTCATCTTCAACAGACGTTCGCTCGCTGAACTCGCCGCAACCTCTCACTGGGGTGTTTAAAATTAGGTTTGCAAGTTCAGTGAGTTCGAGAAAAACACAGCTTGTTCATCATGAAAAGCGTCGCCGTGTTTCAGTCTGTCTGCCGGGTGTCACAAAATTAGACGCGGCTTTTATCTGTTGAGATGGATTTTATCCGCTATAGGTGAGGGAGAGCACAATTTCACAAATTGATTCGAACAATAATGAGAATTTTATGGCTGCTCATCTCCTTTATCATCAAGGGCAGATTGAATTTGATTTCAGCAGCTTATTTGGGTCGTTGCCATTAAATCTTTTAATGACAGGCGCAGGCGGTCTCTTTGAATCAGCTGTAAATGAAAGCCCTCTGCCTGCTGCTGATAACACATCTCTTGTACATTTTACAGAATGGCAGCAAAAACTGAGATTGCCCTCACAGACAAATGCCAGCCGAATGCCATGACCCGGTGTAATGCATGCTGGAGTGGGATGTGTAATGCTTGGTCAGACACCTCTGCAGGGGGCTGGTGAGTCAATAACGAGTTGGCAGTGAGTGGGCCATCGGTGACCAGGGTGGATTATCTAAGATCAACTTGATTTGCTGCCAGGCAAGTTTGTGTCACACTGGAAGATTGTTGTATGACTGATAAAACGCATGAACACTGAAAAAGTGCAAAGTGTACAAAAGTCTTCACTCAACTTGGAAGTTTTTGCTTTTGAATTTGGCTTTAAATCACAATCAGAACAATTTAGGAGGGATTTTTTGACAAAGTGACAAAGTTTTCATCCATCCATCCATTGTCTATATGCCGCTTAATCCTCACTAGGGTCACGGGGGGCTGGAATCTATCCCAGCTGACTTAGGGTGAAGGCAGGGGACACGCTGGACAGGTCACCAGTCTATCACAGGGCTACACTTAGAGACAGACAACCAAGCACACTCACATTCACACCTATGGACAATTTAGAATCACCAATTAACCTCAACATGTTTTTGGACCTTGTGAGAGGAAGCCGGAGAACCCGGAGAGAACCCATGCTGCACAGGGAGAACATGCAAACTCCACGCAGAAGGATCCCGGGTGTCCTCACCGGGACGCAAACCAGGGATCTTCTTGCTGCGAGGCAACAGTGCTAACCAACTGCACCACCTTGCAGCCCCACAAAGTAATGTCAATTAATTAAAATTATAAAACATATAATAAATTATTGCAAAAATATTTGCCACCTTCAAGTTAATATTTAGTAAATGCAATAGGTCCCAATCAGCCTTGCACTTCCGGACTCTGGTGTTTCACCCCATCTTTCTACTCAGAGCTCTTTCAGATCACGGGGTTGTAAATGAACAGCCCAATTCAAGTCCAACCACAAATTCTCTATCGGACTGGGGTCTGGGCTCTGACTCGGCCACTCCACAACATTCACCTTGTTGTCTTTATACCATTTACACCTCAGGTTATTGTCTTGCTGGAATTCAGATCTCATCCCAAGTCACAGCTCTCTTGCAGACTGCATCAGTTTGTCCTCCAGTACTTTGCTCCATTCATTTTACCCTCTGCCTTTAAAAGCCTCCCAGGACCTGCTGCTGAGAAGCATTCCCATCATCATGATGCTGCCACCACCATGCTTCATTGTGAGTCACTAAAAAGGGGACGAGCACTGATGCAATTACTTATTTTACATTTTGCATTTTTGATCAATTGACAATACTTTGGAAACATCTGTTATTATTTTGACATATGCGCCCTTTTTTTTTTGTAAATTCTTGTCAAGAATGTAATTTTATTAGCCCACGATTCAATATTGAAATGCAAGAAAATTAAAACAACTTTTAAGAAAGAAAGATCAAGCTGTAAAATTTTGACTGCAGTGTTCTGTCCTACAGTCTGACACACCACAAGCAGCACATCCCTTCTTAATATGCCGTGAACTCTTACTCCAACTGGGCCAGCGTTATTATTAGAGCCTGTGTCCTGCCATTGACATCCCTCACTTCGACCTCCATCATCATCACACGTGGTATTGCAGGACACAACAGCTTAATAGGGCAGGCATTGTTCAGAAAATTATGCAAATGACCAGAAGGTCGTCTTATTTTTCTCCCACGCATTAATCACTTTTCCCCAAGCAGACTACAGTTGCAGGAGGGAGAGCAAACACGGATTTTTTTTTTTACTACAAAAACATGTTTTCTAACCTTCCCGGTTACTTTGCAGCTTAAGATTTTTACTGGGGCAGCTGTTGCAGCACAGTTTACAAACAGACAAATCATCCTGACCCGGTCCAGCCCAGAGCAGCCACAGCTCTGTACTAGCAGATGGCATTGAGTGGTGTGGGTGGGGAAGAGGGATGGCACTAAACCTCTGGAGATTCCCCAAAACTGTCCGACTCACTGTCACGCAACAGCTGACCTGATACTGCACCCAGGCAGCGGACGGAGGAAAATGGGGATATGTCCCCTCACCCAGTTTAATCTGGGACATCCTGACTAAACCGATGAGTTCTCAGCGTCCTGAGCAAATCCTCTCACCTTGTTAGTGTTGCTTTAAATTTCAATCCCATTGTGCATCTGTCTGTCTACGTCCTGTCTCATGACAGCACAGATCTGGGAGAAAATATCTAAATGTGTGAACACTTGTGAGATTTTTCAACCGCAGTTGATCGTTTCTGGCCACGTAAGGAACATATTTTGATGCTTCTCTTTAATATACTGCAAAGTAAATTATACTGTAGCTATTCTATGAGTTGTTCCGTTTTGTCTTTACGTCTTGGCAGGACAAAAGCCTTCGATCCTGCATCATTTAGACTTCAAATATAAAAGACAAATGAACATCTGAATTTAATGTGTTGATGTCATTTCTAACACGTTGCACAAAAAAGTAAAAGGAGAAAGTTTTTGATAGTTTTTGGGCTACCATCCAGCATCATCAAGTGCTTTATTGTGCATTCAGGGCCTGAAGAGGTTAAAAACATCATTTTGGTTCTACATACGGGTGTATTAACCATTACAGAAACATAATAAATGATTTTTCTAGCTACCAGTACTGTTAATTTAGGGCATCTGTGGCATAAACCTTACATTGGGTGGTGGTCCAATAAAGCTCTGTATGTGCATGTCATGTTAATCCCAGAACTGTTCTATAAAATTTGGAGATAGTGGTGAATATGTTTTTATCATTGAAATTATAGATGTGTTTAAAGTAGCAGTAGAAATCCTGTTTTGTGGCGTGATAGGGAGTCATTTCCCCAAACGTTGCAGGAAAATGTCAAGAGGGATTAAATAATCAAGTGTTTCAAACTGAAGCACAGCTGGAAGAATTATCCATTTACTTTTTTGTTCTCATCAGCCCTGTTTTATTCAGGTCAAAGTAATGAGTGTGGCACCAGCAGCGTTACATAACACGGTACATGGCCTGTTTTAAACAGCTGGGTCACTTTGAGCTGCTTAGGGACAGAATGCTGTATCACTTTTGCGAGATGCTCCAACAGCAACAGGCCACCTGGGAGATGGGTGAAGATGACTTTCAGGAGGAGCATCCGAAACCTGTCGCTCCCCCCAATCAGCTGTTTGAACCAACAGCTCCTCGAGGCCGAATGACGCGTGCGCCTACCTCTCCCTTGGCGGTTCCGCTGAGCTCGGTCCTCTCGGGCAGGATGCTCTGCTGGAGGCTGGAGGGGCAGGGTGAAGCTGAGGCGGGGTGGGGGACGGGGGCAGGTTGCACGTTGGAGGCAGCAGATGGGATGATGTGCTCCCCCTGATGCAGACCTACGGGCCTGCTGACCTCCCCGCTGTAGGCAGCCTGGTAGCTGGTCTCACGGGGGATGTGGGTGGCGTCCGTCCCTGGGCTGGAGTACTGAGCTGGAGGGTTTTTCCTCGCACTTTTGGCTGGTCTCACCCCCGTCCACGGCCTGTACTCTTGCCTGGAGGAAGAGGTGCGCATCAGTAGGCTGCCAGATGTAAAAGTTTACATCTGGCTTATTTTTTAATGGCTCAGGGCAAGTGTGGACGGGATGGATGCGACCCAGCGCTTGCATTAAGGTAGCGGTGATGATGTATGTAATGCATAATGTATACACCATCACCAAAGACTGAGTTAAAGGGGCCACTTTATGATTCCACTAATGCAGATCAGTTGACTCAACATGAGGCTTGTGAAAACAGCTGTACAAAGTCTTATTTGCTTTTTAACGTCTAAGAAAAGAACTCTGTTGTTGGAGTTGTCTTGGATTGACCCAACTATAAATACATACAGTTCAACTTTGAAACATGTGTTTTTAAAGATTAAATGCATTTTATATCCAGAGGTTATTATAATACCTCGACCTGGGGGTGTGAACCACCCCAAACATTCTGGTGCATGAAGCCCTAAAAAGCTGCATACTTCCACAAAAATAAAACAGATATCAAACATTCATACTTGAGCTCTCCCACTTATAGATGTGAAATGTGTGAGGGAATTATTGATGACCCCCACCGCCCATCTCCATGCAGGCTTGCTGGGTCGACCTTGGAAGGCACTGAACTATTAATAAATGAGTCTAATTAGGCATCAAAGCAGCAGTGGATGGGTAAAGGAACAGGTGCAGGAGGCTGACATACCTGTAGGAGCTGGTTTTGCTCTCCTCCATCACCTGCTGCTCCCCCCACCTCTGCCCCCTGCCCCGCTCTTCTCTCTCCCCCGGCGGCGCCTGGACGTGGTAACTGTTCACCGGACTGTCCGACACACTGTCCGCCCTGCTGCCCCCGTTACTAATCCACGGGAAATTCTCTTTCCTAGGAATGGGCCAGGGTTTGAAATCCTGCTTGTACTGCGTAACGCTGGGGAAAGGCACTCCGGGCGGGTGGTAGTCCTCCCGGGGCTTGTAGCTGGGCTCCTTACGCGCCCTGAACGATCCCCGGGTGCCCGCTCCATCCGCGGGCGCCTGAGGGGAGCCCTTGTTGGCGCGGGGCTCCGGGGTCGAGTAGTTATTCCCGGGTGCGCGCTCCGACGCGGAGACCTGTTTGGTGACGGACCGCACCTCCTGCTCGGCGATGTCCGAGTAGTTCTGGATGGTGAGCGGGACGGACAGGTCCGATTTGTCGAACTGATTCCAGAAGCGAGCCAGGCAGCACACTCTGCTGATGCACGGCCAAGCCATACTCACCCTCCTTTACGCTTACTGTTCTGACTTGGAGAGAAGAGGAAGAAGAAAACAAACAGGAAAAAAAAAGAACAGAAAAAGAACAGAAAACAGGGAGGGGGGGAAAGATCAGAGGTTACATTCAGACAGAGTGTCGCCCTCCCTCCTGCTCCGTTTTTGGGAAGCTCAGAGCGCACAGTGTCCAAGAGTCCATGTCAGCAGCAGAGGAGTGCCAGCGGAGATGAACCGGTCTGTCGGGGACCGTCATTGAATATTCCTCTCACGTGGTCTGTGATAGTGCCTCCACTATGCAGAGGAATCTGTGGCAAATTATTCTCCGCATATCCAGCCGGATCTCGGTGTCTGCATCCGTCTGCTTGGACTCCAAATCAAAAAAATATATATAACTTCTCGTCTCCAACGCAGGTTTCCACTCGTGCATGAGATGTTTTTATGGCTTCTACTCTCTCGCAAATCCCTGAAATGAGTGTACCCCAACAGTGAGGTTACATAAGTGTGATGCAGCGTCCAACGTACAGTAAAGACTGGGAGACTGTGTTAACTTGACTGATCAGCTGGAGGATGTGTGGAAACGATTTTTTTTTTTCAGATGTTTCACGAAATTACTCACAGTTAGGTTATACTTTGCCATGTGTTGCATCAGCCTGCTTAATTCCTCTGAAGTAGAGGTATTTAAGTATTCTGTTTAAATTTGACGCATCGGTTTATTATAAGTGCCCATTAAATGAACTTCTAAAACCATTTATTCATGGTCAAATTGTTTTGGAATTTTTTGACAGTGTAATCAGATTTCTGCAAAGTAATGTCAGTTAGTCAAAATGTCAAATAAGTGATTGCAGGAGTATTCAGCACACAGTTAGTGAAACGGAGATCATCTGAGTCCAGTGAATGTAGTACAAAGAACACTCCAAGCAACTCTGTGAAAGGGTCATTGAAAAGTATAAGTCATGGGATGGATATAAGGGATGAAGGTTGTCCTCAAAACTGAGAGAGGCCACCAAGACGCCTCTGAAGGAGCTACAAGCTTCAGCAGCTGAGATGGAAGAGACTATAAGCAACTGTGGCCCGGGTTCTTCACCAGTCAACGCTAGTGGAGAAAGAGAAAGCCACTGTTAAAAAAAAAAAGAAGAAGCACATAGTAAATATTGAGGAGAGTTCACCAGAAGGCATATAAACTGGAGGAGGGTTCTTTGGACTGATGAGACCTTGTACTGCACATCATCACAAACACCATCCCCACTGTGAAGCATGGCAGTGGCAGCATCATGATGTGTGATTGCCTCTTGGCAGCAGCACCTGAAGTATTGTAAAGGTAAATGGTGACATGAATGACAGAGCTTGAGCATTTTACAAAGAAGAATGAGGTAAAATTGCTGTGTCCAGATGTTCAAGGCTCACTGAGACCTATCCAAACAGGCTTAATGCTGTCATAGCAGCCAAAGGTACATTTACTAAATACTGAACTGAAGGGTGGAAATAATTATGCAACTGCTTATTTCACATTTTATATTTTAAATCAACATTACTTTTTGGAAATCTGTTTTCACTTTGACATGAAATAGGCTTTTTTTATGCAAAAACACACCAAAAAACGAAATAATCCAAATTAAAATGACCATGATTCAATGCTGAAAATGCTTTTATAGGTACTCTATCACACACAGACAACTTTTGACACGCTACAGCAGGTAAATCATATGTGCTAAAACTGATTGATGACGCTGTTAACTGTGGCTGAATTCCATTTAGCTGCTTCTGTTTCAAACTCCTGGCATGTACCCTTTTCACTGCAATCTCATGTCATAGCCAAAAACTCTGGAAAAGTGTTTCAGGAAGCCTTGTCAGCGAGCCAGCATGTCCTACTTATACCTGTTTTGACACACCAAAATGTAATCCATGGAGGCTCGCTGTCACACTGTTATGGTAAATGGTTGCTTATATATAGCGTTTCTCATTCACTCATTCACGCACACATTCATACACCAATGGCGACAGAGCTGCCTGCCATTGGGAGCAACTTTGGGTTCAGTGTCGTGCCCAAGGACACTTCAACCTTGCGACTGGAGGACAACCTGCTCTACCACCTGAGCCACAGCCACCCTAAGGCTTCCTGGGATGCTGTTATTGGTGTTATTTGTATCATCTGTGGTTTAAATACTATGGAAAATAAAATCTATTCCAGTACCTATAGGAATGAAAATCTTCAAAAGAAATGATAATTCACTAGAAAAGCAACAAAATAAGGACGTTTCCAGCAAGCAGCCTTCACAAGCCCACTGTGGCTTTATGGTGGAATGATGTGGGCATAGCTAAGCTCACGGTAAACCCACGTCAATCTTCTATGGATCTCATGCTCATGTCGCCCCCTTCGTGACAAACAGGTAAGCCCATTTGGCACCTGAATATTATCACCTTTTGTCTGGATGTTTCGGGTGTTCACAGTTTTCTCATTTATGTTGCAGCTCAAGTCAGACTATCAAAGCTTGATTAATGAATGAGCCCCTGGTCATCTCTTGCAAAAAAAAACTCCAAAAAGAGTCACAAACCAACCTCTAAGCAAATCAACATATCCAAAGTAAGACACAAGATGACCACAAAAAGATGCAACACAACCAAAATTATGCTCAAAATGACCACACAGAGAACGAAATGCCAAACAGCTACTAGCAACTGCAAGGAGAGAGGATGCAGGTCAGCTACAAACAGACACAAACCACGGAAGAGTCACACAATAACTACAGGAAGCAAAGCATTTGCAAGACATACAGCTGGAGACACAAATGTACAACACACAGCACAGCTTCAGGGTCGGTGGTCATTTTATGAGTGTCTTGTTGGAGGGCTGGAGGCCGTTCACATGTCCGTGTCCAGGGGCACGATGTTTCAGGATCTGACTACGTGGGCCATGGACTGAAATCTGAGCTATTTCCTCCCTAGAAATCTAAAGGTTTGCTTTTACTGTCGAAGCAAGAAAGTTGTGTTGTTTTCTTGTAACACAAGGGTGCACTCTTGGATTCGACACCAGAAAGTTGCCTAAAAGTATCTTAACCGCAGAGGAGGCAGGTCATATTTAATCATGTATTTTTGGAAAATTAGCTATTTTGCTATTTAGATATAGAGAATTAAATGAGCAGTAGAAAAAAACTGGGCTTACCCCAGATTGTCTTTCTGGAAACATTTAGAGAAAAATCCTCATTAATATTGTGATTAAACAAGTTGTAAGTTAAGTTTTAGAAATGAAAACACTGCAAGGTCCTCTTTTTGTTTCTCAAGTAGCTGATTAGATGCCTTAAAGGACTACAGAAAACAGGCTTGAGAGTATGTGAAGAATTACAGCTGATTGCATTTCAGCGAGTGGAAGAATGTGCATGAAGTCCTTGATGCACTCGCAGCAGAACAACTTCGCTCTTCGAGGTGTTTCTCAGAGAAGGAGGCGAGCTCAGCCTCACACAGGGAGGCGACGCTACAGTTTAAGAGCCACTCGGGTGAGTTTGACACAGGAAAAAAAAATGCAACTCCTGTGGATGAAGATGAACGGCTGCTTGCGGCCCATAAATCACCTCCAGGTTCTCTGTGCTCTTGTTCACACCGCTGTACCTTCAGTGATAGATGACACAGGCTTTGTAGTGCAAGCAGAGCAGCTTGCTGCAGACAACAGATAATGAAATGGCACAGCCGTGGTTAGGTTATCAGTGAACTTCTGGTTGCAGGTAATAAGCTTTTGCCAGGAAGTAACAGCCTCTCAGATAGCAGTGTGATACCACCATCTGTAGGACACAATGTGACATTACCAGCACAATATTCTGTGTATTGTATCAGTAAATAAATAGTTTGACTGTGTTTTTTGTGTGTCCATTGTGTGCCCAAACTTCAGAAATGTCCATGAATGTTAAGTCTGAATCCCTTTTGCAGCTGTACAATAACCAGTCTCTATTAAAAAGCGGACATCCTGGACTGACGGATCAAACATGGCGTTCAAAATAGTTTAAACTAGAACTTTGCAGTTCCAGTGTGTTATTTTGGGTCCTCTGCAAAGCTGAAAAAGCTGCAAGTCATGCAGTATAAACAGCAAACATTTCAAACTTGTGAAGCATATTTGCATAAGCGAATGATACAGTAAATGAGACTAACCAGACATGGACATACCATAATCATCTATCCATCCATTTTTGGCTCACAGTGACAGAAGCTAAGCAGTGTATTTAAGCAGCTCCTCTCCCTAGAAACCTTTTTCCAGCTCCTCCTAGGGGACCCTGAGGCTTTCCCAGGCCTGATAAGATACATAATCCCCCCCAGTGGGTTGTGGGTCTACCCCAGGGTGCTGTAGAATAAACACAATAGCAACAAAAGCGTGAGATAAAACTCACCAGACATGCCATTAGGAGCCTTTCAAACAAGATTGTCCAGTAAGCTTCCCTTTTTATGATCATATTACATCTCCATCCTTCCTCTCCTGGGAGACAGCTTTGATACACACATTTGTTTTGCAATGAGGTAAACTGTACAGTGTAGTAGATCTCAGTGGAAAAACTATAAAAGTGAAATAATTGTACTTCTCACACTAGTGGGACTTTTTTACAGATGGCTGACAAATGAAAGGAAATAGCACCATGAAGAGTCTTGGTAAAGTGTTGCATCACCAAGCGCTACCAGACAAGCTTTAATTCACCCTGACACTGATTCTCTAAATCTTTGAACTCTACCAGAGGGATGAAGTCCTAAAAATGATACTCCCTCTTTTGATGTTTTAACAATGATGGTGGAGAACACAAAAACCTCCACAGACGTTCAGTTGTGTTGAGAGATTTCGAATTTGAAGGCCACGGCTTGTGATTCACATTATTTTCGCCCCCATCAAACCATTCAGTGACCCCTCGTGCTCTATCGATCGCCATCCTGGAAGGCACCGCTCCCATCAGGACGGAAATGGCTCCATCACAGGATAAAGGTGAGCAAAATGCCTCCTAAAGGATAACAGAGCTACCAAATACTGTCAGAAGAATCAATGGTTCAGGTTTTACCTTTAATTTGTCACCCATCTGTAGCTCCTCTGTTAAAGCTAAATTTAAGATTTCAGTACCTTTTTTTTTTTTAAGTGTTTTTTTTTCTGCAGATTTCTGGCAGACAGGTGCAAATTGTTTTGGTTTGGCAGCTTATTCTTAATTAAGTGATTTGCCTGTATACTGACACAAACCTTTTTTCTCTGCAATTTACTTCTAATTTTCCACACGGTGAGTTCATTTTGCAGCTGATGATGTTTCTCGTCGAGTTTTGTCAGTGCATGTTCTGCGGCCGCCTCGGGGAAGCTGAGCTTGCAGGTGTGGCATCAGAGATAACTATGAGCAGACAGCTATAAAGATGTTTGTACTGGTGCCTAGTTTTTAGCTTGACACTCTATACTGTTATGCTTTAACCCTGAAATAAAGCACCTCTCTGTGATCTGTGATGGATTTTATGGGGATTTAAAATTTTTTTTCCCCCCTTTGTGTTTGTGTATCTGAAGTACACGGAATACACTCAGTCATCGTCAGGGCTTGTTTTAATGTCCAAAGTGTTATTATTTGTTGTTGTGTTTCTGTATCCTCGCTGCTCTCTTTTCTTAGTATTCTTGTGCATACGTCTGATCCGGTTACGTTTTGTGCAGACATATGGGAGTGGAAACCTAACGAGTGTCAGAGTCATTCTTCAGAGATGTGTTTTGATTCTCCTCCTGGCCTGCTTCCATTGCTGGGCTCATCAACACGGAGCTTTAAAGGCCCACCCTGAGTCCATGCTGTGGTGGGGTGTTATCCTGCCTCAGGTGATAACTGGAATTATTGGAAATGTTCCTAATACGGTATGCTCTGATTCCTTCTTTGAGCTACAGTGACTCTGCAGCCGCAAATCCTGTCTCACCGTCGTCTTTGGCTTGTATCTTTACACCTACTGAGGTTACACAAGGCAACGGGGTCTGGTGAGTTTACTCAGATTCAGACATGTTGACTACTGATAGGCTCATTTATTTTTAATCCTGTTCTGTAACCAAACTCTCCCTCCACAACATTACAGCATATACTCTCTCTAACCCATATACATAAAACAATTACAAGAGTAAACAGCCTTTTAATTTGCATACCATAAAGTTAGTCACAATCCAGAATGGACTTAACTTGGCAGGGACGGGGCCTGTTCACCCAGGTGGTCTTTCCCATGGCATGTCTGGAGGGATGTGAAGGTTTTTGACTATGACAGTCATTGTTACCTTCATGGTAGTTCTGCTGCAATTTATGTTTGATGCAAGTAGGCCTAAAAACAGTTTGTGTTGTTATTCTGCACCGCTTTCAATGTGACTGTTCTGCTTGTGTAAGCTCTCGAAAACAACCCTCATGATGTCATCAGGGTTACATCAACCTGAGCTTGGAGGCTGTAAATGTGAACCATAAATCCTTCAACACAGACTGAAGGTGTCGAGTTTGACAGAGCTATGTATTTACCTAATTAAAAAACCTCACTGAACACTGGAAAGGTTTTTTTTTTTCAGAGCCTGCAGATGTTTATCACTAGAAAAAATGTGTTTGTTCCTTGTTTCCTGGATTAAAAAAAAATCCCAGCAACTTCAATTATTTCTGTTACAAAAGGCTGAGAAGTTGGTGCTGTGGAAGTAGTTTGCAATGATTTATTTCAAATCAATAACATTTGTAGCCTGAATAAAGTGGCCAAAAAACTGTGGGTATGTATAACCTGGTCTTTTCTGCCCTCTACAGGCACAAGTGAACAATTACACTTTTAGTTTAAATGCATCACACAGATCATCTATTGCAACTGAAAAAGTAGCTGTCTGCTGTAGCTTGAGTAAAAGTTCCTGTAGATAAACACCACAGATTTACCCTGACATGCATTTCAAACAGCTGTGTATGAAAGAGGCAATGATCAGAACAGAATCACAACTTTAAACACGTGCTTTGTTCACTGTTTCCATCGCATGCACTCTGGGATCATGCACGCACAAGCAAGGCATCAACAACTAAACATCCCACACAGTTTTACTGATCGAAGAGAGTCAACATCACCTCATCTAATGTCCTGAACAACTACAAAGTGCGTGACTCAGACTGCGATGAGGAAGCCAGTGCTGTAGTGTCATGGCCTCTGTTGATCAGGCAGCTGGCGTTGCCTTCGAGGCCTCACTGTGTTTTCACAGTTCTTGTCCTTGCAGCTGTGATATTCACCGGCAAAAAGCTTTTCAAACTTCTCAAATGACTGGAACTTCACTGGCTGCTGGCTGACTCACAACTTTGGTTGCATAAGATGCTCAGTCACTTTGGGATGTAGCGGACGGAGCAATATGCAGAAACGATGCTGTATCCCACTCTGGATCGGAATTGGATATAATTTTTGCTAAATAGCATGTTATTTATGATTATGAGCTGTACATCACTAAGTCTTATGCAATGCTCAGCTCCTCCTATAGACTGATGTCTCACGTGGTTCATTTGTTTGGAAAAAATACATTGTTTTAGTAATAAGCTGAACAGCGTGCCCAGTTTTACTTTTAGCTTTCAGTGCAATGTAAACCTATAAGGAGAAATAATAATAGAATATTTATGTACTTTGTAATTTAGTTAGTCTGTTTTTAATGCAGATTGAAGAAAAGGTTATGTTTTTTTAATAAATGCCACCTTCATATTTTTACTTTTAGATTTTTTCAGAGCAGCAAGGTGGAACGATGGTTAGCAACGTTGCCTCACAGCAAGAAGGTTATCGGTTCGCATCCCGGTAAGGACACCCCGGATCTTTCTGCGTGGAGTTTGCATGTTCTCCCCGTGCAGCATTGGTTCTCTCTGGGTTCTCTGGCTTCCTCCCACAGTCCAAAAACATGTTGAGGTTAATTGGTGATTCTAAATTGTCCGTAGGTGTGAATGTGAGTGTGCTTGGTTGTCCGTCTCTAAGTGTAGCCCTGTGATAGACTGGTGACCTGTCAGCTGGGATAGACTCCAGCCCCCATGACCCTAAAGAGGATTAAGCGGTGTATAGATAATGGATGGATGGATTTTTTCATAAATGTAACAGGGCTGCTAGTAATACTCATGTTCACTGTGATCTTTGGATGAATTCTTTAAAGTGTAAAATGTTAAATCCTCCCATTTAAGAAACTCGTAACAGGCAAAATATTGCATTTAGCCTGATTAAAGACTTATTTCTTCATCAAAATTCTTTTTATTAATATCCTCTCCATCACAACAATTCAACTCATCACTTCACCTCTAAAATATTTATGCCTAGTAAACATAATCAGTTTTATTTACTCATGTTGCTGCATCTGTGAATCAACGCAGTCAAACACAAATTGCACCACATCCTCGCTGTTGCTGAACAAACACGTCGAACCCTTAAAACATCCTTTATATTACAGCTACTATTTGACAAAATCCAGGAACTGTATCGGTGTTGACTTTTGTTCTTTTGTGACGGCATGTTCAGAGATTTCTTGCATTTTTCTGCAGTGTTTCTCTTTCTGTCTCACCTTGTTGAAAACGGGGGACAAAATGTAATATATTGCCTGTTATTTTTCTTTTCACCTTCACTAAACACTGGAAAGTTTAGAAACCGCCGTCCTTCATGTTTACCAACAGACTGACCAGCAGAAAAACAACAACAACAACAACAAAAACAACATACTACCTACTTTACTGACGTCATGTTATTGATCAGTTATGTTTAGTGTTTTCTAATGATGGTGGTCCTACATTTCCCAGAATGCCTTTCATCGAGATCTTCTAACTTGTAGAGCCACTAAATTTAAATAAAAATGGGCTTCCATATCAACCAACAAGTCAAAGGTGTCTCCATTTTTTGTTTTGGTCTACCTGTAGCTGCTTTATTTTTTAATTTTTTTTTATTGTTTATCATTTTATTTATTGTTTTTGATGCACCAGTATTTTAGCTGTTGCTCTCCTGTTTTAACAATTTATTACCTACGCTCCATTTAATTGTTCATATCAAACTGAAACTGTTCATATGACAGCAACAAAACTGACCTGTCTGCTCACACCAGCTAGCAGCGTGTTAACAGCTTTCCTGAATGCAGCATGGAAGTTTTTATTGTTTTTTCCAAGCTGCACTTGAACGCAACATTTCGAAAACGGGCACTAAAATGTTAACTCGTATCGCTCCGCCTCCTGTGAAACGCTCTGTAGTAAGAATCAGAAAAATAACAGAAGAAGCGAATTCCTCAAAGGACTGAGATTTTAGACTAATTTAATTTCTCAGCGGGGTTTTTATTTTTATAATATTTCCAGATGAGCGTGGACTGAGCTCACACAGCCTCTCTGCGGACTATTTATCGCTATTTAATTACAACACGTGTATTCATCCCCAGTTAGGAACCGGCTTTTTATTTTTATTTTTTACGGACTACAGAGCCGCTGAAGTTAACCAGGAGTTCGTAAGTAACAAAATAAATATTGTGTAATTGAAAACCGGTGCGCTTAACGTGTGTTAGAGTGTAAAAAAAAAAATCTAGTAAATGTGTTGAACTAACGTTAGCTAGAGCTCTGCAAGTTAGACTCTTCCGCGCATGCGCTGTTCGTAAACGTGAATCACAACTTTCATTTGGCGAAGTGTGGCTAAGGAAGAGCACCACACAATACTAGAAAACAAACGGTTTTCAGTGTTAGTTTTGTGTTGACACTTGCAGCCACAGCAGCAGCGTTTAAAGAGTAACACGTTAACCTCATTGTCTCAGCTCATGATCATTTATTTGCCAACACAAATGCAAAGTTTGAGCACAACACATGTTTATTTATCTGCTCACATAACTGTAGAAGTGCACAGTTTAGACAGAATTCATCATTGTATTGTCTGATTTCAAACTCAGAACATGCACTCTTGTTGCATGCAGGAACATCTCAGGTGAGTTGGGCAAAAAGAAGTGAGCGTGTTCACCATCAGACACAAAACCACTGAGAAGTCGAGTATTTTGAGAAGCACCACAACACAAAGCTCCAC